TAGACATTTTAATCATGGCCAGCCTGAGTAATCAAATCTGGTAATACTAATCAAATCCTGCTCAGGCTGTGCGTGTGTGGTAATAGATGTTTGGCTGTAATAGTGCGAAGGTGACGTTTTGAGCTTTCATTTTAAACAAACAGGGAACACCACCTCTGCCCCTCCCACCACCACCACGCCGCTCCATTCATATACATAGGATTTTTAAAAAAGGAATCTGTGAGTGAGCAGTGTGACATCCAAATTAACCTCCACCACATCCTGACACCCACACACCAGCTCAGAGGTGGCTCATTCATCTGCAGTCCAATCTGACAACCAAAAATTACAGCTGCAGGTTTCAAAACACTGTTTTTTTGTTGCTGTTGTTTCCATTTCTTAAAACATCAATGTAAGTAATGGTCAGTCTGGAGTCTTGATTCTACTTTAAACAGAAGAGCAGCAGCGATTCAGACACTGAAACTGTGCAATAGCCTTAATGCTCAGCTGCTCGGTTGTTGCGGTCCAACCACCCCCCTCTTTTACCACATTACGGTTTGACATTGGCACATTCCAGCACAGGTCGTTATCTTGCTTATCGACTAGATGGCTTTTACATGTTGAAGGCTCTCCAGCAAAGTGTGCAGGACACGCGGCGTTAAAGCCTCTAATGCAACCTTTGGTTTGTATCCAGTTCCGGGGGACGCACGACATCGTCCCTTATTGATTGTATTGAAGCAATATTGGCTCGTTTCATCTTCGCAGGAAAAGGAAAAATATTTTTTGGCTTAACTGAACATGGGGTTTTTCTTTTACCCTCTGCGACTAAAAGCATCCATCATCCTCGTGGTGTGATTGTGCGCTGATGGGGTTGTGATGCAGGTGCATGTACACAACAGATTGATCAGATCATGTGAACGCCTTGTGGTTTACATATTCAGGAGCGAGTGCAGCCTTGACACAGCAAGTGGTTTTTTTTTACTGTTAACCTGTCAATAACTCACTTATTCAGTACTTAATGAGGGAAAGAAATTGATTCAAAACACGCTGCTTCATTGCTTTGGTTCTTGTTTCAATACAGCGTGTAAAGGAACACTGAGATGGATCACAGCGTCGCACAAAACGCTGTCAAAGATTTTTTTTTTATTTGTCTGAAAATGCACATTCTCGGAATTAGCTTGCTGCATATAAATTCCTTAGGGCCTCTGCGTGTGGATGGATGGATGGATGGTGGTGCTGCCGCCTGTACGGACGTGGCAGACAACCGGTTTTGGCTGAATAGGTGGTGCTAAAATATAGGTGGGCAAGAGCAGCCAAACACTGTAAATCCTAACAGCCCTGATGTTGAAAGACTTGACAGAGCAGAGAGCGGGAGAGAGGGCTCTGTCAAAATCCCTGCAGGGAAACTGCCTGCACAAGGCTTAGATTTCTGCTGGCTACACTCATTATTTCTCTCTCTCTAGATAAGGATGAATTTGACGTAATGTTCGGCAGCACCGCCCGTCTCGGACGCAGCTGCACGGCGGAGCTCTGCACAGGCGCCGTTACGATCCAACGGCGAGCAGTTAACGCGCTCTGGCATTTGGTGGAGGGTTTTATGTCTTGACCCTACGTGGATGAGTGTTTTCTCATAATGATGGTGAATATAATTAGCATCATCCAATACTGATGATGATGATGATTTCTAATGATAAAAGGGGCTCGAAGCGCAAAATGGTGGCCTTGTGGAGAGAGCAGGGTTTTACAGCACTTTTTTCTTTTTTTTTTTGCATGTTAAAGCAGGAAAATCAAAGATGTAATTAATAATCTTAATTAAAATATGTAGCGGGGCTGACTCAGTGCTATTGTAGCTCAGTGAAAGAGAGCCATCATTAACGTCACCAGCTCTACCTGGGCTTTTCCTGCAGGGACATGTAATGAAATCTGCTCAATCAAAGGCTGCATTCACACTGAAATCCCCAGTGTTCAGTTTTGATTTATTTGTTTGACTGCTCACTTTTTTTTTTTTTAATTGCGGCTGGATTTAGATTCTGGTGTGAGCTGGTCTGAGTCCTGAAGGGACCAGCCTGTGCAAAAGAACAAAGACATCACACCTAGGACGCTGTCGTGCGCCAGTGGGCACGGAGGTCACTGAAGTCGGCGTTTACGGCTTCATTTATAAGTTGATGTGCAGCGGACGCCTGTGAATTTGCGAGCAGACGATAACAAGGACGAGGAGGAAGACAGTCAAAATTTTAATTACGGCTTCTCGCGGAGCAATGGCTGCTGCTTCCATATGGAGATATGTGGGTGTGGAGTCGGAGCCAGGAATAGCAAGTTAGTGATGGGAACTGCTTAAGTGAAACAGATTTCATCCAAAAATTTCAGGATGTCAAAGGTTACTGTTAACTCCATCTGTCAGCAGCTCTCCACAAGACTGCTGGAGCAGGACTCTTAGTTCAGGCAACCCACCGCCCTGACGAAGCACATAGGAGATGGGTTGTATTCGCAGTCAACAGCGGCGGGTTGCTGCACGTTGTCTAAGCTGTTTGGCATCTGCTCGGTTCTCCCACCTGCACAGAGCTGTTGATCCAAAGGGAAAATAAAAGTTGCATGAATTCTGATGACTCTTCAGACTGAGGGTTGCATTGCAAAAACTCATACCTGCATCTGATCCCTCTGCTACACACATACGGAAGTGGCCCCAAATGTTTTTTTTTGTGATTTGTACGGTGGCCCAGAAGTGTCACAACAAAACAAAAGCCACAACACAACACAATAAGCCACAACATTACAAAATTGACCACAACACAACCAAATTAAACACAACACTACAAAATTAGCCACAACACAACACAACGGCTGCAACGGAAGTTGATTTTTTTAACCCGGAAGTTGTACTGTGAAGTGCGCAACCACACGAAGTGGGCAGAAGCTGGAGATTATTACTTAATTACTATTTGCCATCAGTATTTTGCTTACTTTCGAGTTGTTTCCAGCAATCTCCGGCTTTTGCCCACTTCGTGTGGTTGTTCACTTCACAGTATAACTTCCGGGTTAAAAAAAACAACTTCCGTTGCAGCCGTTGTGTTGTGTTGCGACTAATTTTGTAGTGTTGTGGTTAATTTGGTTGTGTTGTGGTTAATTTTGTAGCGTTGTGGCTTATTGTGTTGTGTTGTGGCTAATATTGTAGTGTTGTGGTTAATTTTGTCGTGTTGTGGTTAATTTTGTAGCGTTGTGGCCTATTGTGTTGTGTTGTGGCTTTTGTTTTGTTGTGACACTTCTGGGCCACCGTAGATTTGTGTAGTTCACACTGTTAAAACACATCTGAGTCACATGCAAGCAAAACCTCATCTGATTTGGGCCACTTTTGCCTGCAATCTAAAAAAAAAAAGCCAATTTGAAACTCCAAACAAAAAGTGTTGTTCATGAATATGTTTGTGATGCAATTGTACAAATGTGGTACTCAAATTAAAAAAAAGGGGATAATGCTACTGTGAAGGAAAGGAATCCCCCCTCCTTGCCTTGTTTTGGACATATGGATATTTAATTCGCAACAACATAAAGCGTAGAAAGGCAGCAGATTTTCGGATATGACTAACTGTAATCAGCAGATGCTCGGCATTTTACTTGATCAATCACTTAACATGAGAGAGTCTCAAGATGATTACGCCGGCGCTTCAGTGTTTCTTAAACACAATACGGCGGCACTCGAACGAATAAAGAGCTGAAAACCTGCTGCAGTGTGTTCTATATGTGCGTACAGTATATCAGGTTCAATTCTGCTGTTTTCAAAGACGATATAAATCAGCGCACAACGCCGACTGTTTGTTCTTTCAGTTCAAATACAACAGACTGAGTGAGACAAAACAACAACGTACCATTGCATCACATAAAGGCATGTGGAATAGTTTGTCTTAAAAGCCGAGAAAAATGTGTTCAGTTTGCTTTGTGCGGCTGTTGTCGGAGCTGTCAGGTCTGTGAAGGTCAGCAGGCTGGTTTTTATGCTGCTGTTTGCTGTTCTGTAAGCGCTTTGGATGCACAGTGTCTTTCCCATGCTAATCAGCGTGCTAAGGAGCAGCAAATAAATACGGTAGTAGTACGCTGGGAGTCGACCGCATCCTCCGAAGAGCGCCGCACACCACGACGGCATATTTACATCTTCCGACATCAGACACCTTGATGATGAGAGGAAAAAACCCTGGAAAGGAGAAGAATGAGAATGTGTAACAAAAGGCGGATTAAAAGAGGATGAATAAGGATAATAAGTAGAGGTTAACTGTGACACTTCAAATGAGCTGACAGAGAAAAGTCTTGGCTGGTAAACCCGAACCATAATGAATGCCAAAAAAAAAAAAAATCTCATTTACTCGCTGTCTTTTCTATTATTTTCTGTATCACTTTGTTCCTGATGAATAAGTGGTTGAAATGTTGAGATTTACTTTGGCTGCACAAATGGCTCCATTGTGGTTCTGGAACAAAAAAAAAAAAACAAAAAAAAATCAGAATAACTACCCATCAAGCAAGCTGACATTATACCCGTTGAGTATAATTGGGCTAAACTGTGCTGTCTGTCACCGTCTTGTTGCCGAGTTACCGCGTCTCCATCACCCTCCCGAGTGTGCTGGGAGGTTGCCACCGTGTGCCGTCGGCGTGGCTGCATGTGAATTACTGCGAGGTTTGTTTTGAGGCGAGTGGTGGGCAGGAGGCGGACATCCATAGTGTTTACATCACCAGTCATAAAGACTATAGTGTAATTCAACCGGCAGCTACACCGAAAATAAACCAGGAATTTAAAAAAAAAAAGTGTAGCATGAATTATTTCTGTGCCCAACATGGCTGGATAATAACAAATGGCTGTGGGGCTCCATCCTTTAGCAGAGTGACAACCATAGCAGAGTGAGAACAGTGTTATCACAGCTAAGAGCTAAAATGGCCATCAGTCTTGGCTGTGACTGTGGGTTTTCACCAGTGTACCGAGAGCTCATCCAGTTTCTGCCATTATTTCTTAATAATCATGTTTCTTCTCCCTCTGCCTCCAGGGAAATACTCCTCCAGTGGTGGTGAACACTGACACACTCGATGGCTCCCCATATGTAAGGATTATGTTTAATCTTCCCTTTATTGTGTTAGAACGTTAGGCTCAAACACACGGCTAACCAAACTGCATTCAGTCCGTATTATCAGTCCAATTCCATTTCTGTCCCACCGTCCAGGTAGGCCTCTGCTCATTGTTTTCATCTCAACGATAGCAGTAATTAATTTTTTTTTAATTAAATTAGCTCCCTCTGTTTGATATACATTTGACAGAAGAGAAATATTCCTTAATTTGATTCTTTAATGATGCCATTTGTGAAGTGAAAGCGTATTATCATGAGTTGTGTGGGATTAGAGAACGAGGCTTGGCGCTGAAAAGCCTGCTGCCTTCACACGGCGGTGTTTTTGCACCGCTGTACTACGGCACGAAGAAAAGTTGTTTTCTAGGTCAGACTCCGAAAAAACAGTGAAGTCTGAAGTTCTTTAAATTCTCTCTTCCTCTGGGACTTTCCTAATTGCAGAGGTAAAGCTGATGTGTAGCTTAGCTGCTCATCCAGAAGGCAAATGAGACTAAAAGAATAGTGCTGCGCTTATCAACAACTCCGGTTCACACAGGACACATGCCGAGCAAAGAATTGGATATTTAATTGTAGAAATCTAATTCTCTCGTGTAAGGATGGTCACTAAACAAATATCTTTTTTCTTATTTAACAGGTAAATGGGACGGAAGGAGAAATCGAGTATGAGGAAATCACTCTGGAGAGAGTGAGTCGGACAATCTGATCTTTTAAACCGTTTATTCATAACCTAACAGTGTCTGTGTGGTTCTACCATAGTTATTACTACATAACATTCTTGATTAATCCAACTACTAAGTGTCTCAAGGAACCTTTTGGGGTTCCTCAACACTGTGACTGTGAAGGAACCCTTTGGGTCAAAATGAAAGGAACCGCTGCAGCAAAGGTTAATCGATTTTTAACACTGAAAATATTAACAAAATTAATAACTAGTTATCTAAAAGCAATGGATTAAATAGTTGGCTTAAACTACAACAAAAGTGAAAGTAATGCATTTGCTAAAAGTAATATATAGATTAACATAATCAATTTAATCACAAGGTAAAAATAGATAGATAGCTATTTATTGTTTTTAACTACTTGTTTATTACTTCCAGCCAACTATTTGTTAGTTTTAGAAAAATAGTAATTACTTTTAGCTAACTATTTACTCTTTTAGATAAGTATTTGTTAGTTTTAGCAAACTATTCATTGTATTCAGCCAACAATTTGTTACTGTTAGCAAATTTGTAATACTTTTAGCTAAATATTTATTACTGTTAGCTAACTATTTGTTACTTTTAGCTATGTATTAGTTTTAGCAAACTATTAATTACTGCACAGTTAAACATGAATTACTTTTAGCTAACTATTTGTTACATTTAACTAACTATTTATTATTGTTAGCTAACTATTCCATTTAATTCTCTACTTGTTACTTTTAGCTATCTATTAGTTTTAGCAAACTCTGAATTACTTTTAGCTATTTATTGTTTTTAGCAAAGTACTTTTTTGTTTAATCTAACTATTTTAGCTGCATATAGCTGTTGTTAGCTAACTATTTTTGTTATTAATATTATATATATTTTGAAATATTGAAATGCACAGTTACAATAAAACTATGTTTAAAAATATATTTTTTAAAAAATAATAAAACAATATGTAAATGCAGGTGTAAAGTGGTTAGCAGGACACATACTTTACCAAAAAAAAAAATCATGGAGGAAGCCCATTTAATAAGGTTGCTCCAAAAACCTCATCTGTGAATTGAGCTTTTCCTTCAGGAACCCCCCAAGCAAACAGGGGTCTTTGAATATCCCCAGAGTTCCTCGATGCTCTCCTGATTCTGAGAGAGTGTGCATGCTCATTTCAGCACTAGTCCCTAAAGGTGCCATCACATGGCCCTGATGTAATAAAAAAAAATAACCGTGTATTTGTTTGCGATTCTGACTGCAGGGTAACTCAGGCCTAGGCTTCAGCATAGCAGGGGGAACAGACAACCCTCACGTGGGCGACGACCCCAGCATCTTCATCACCAAAATCATACCAGGAGGAGCCGCAGCTCAGGACGGACGGCTGAGGTAAAGACACGCAAAGCTAAACTACAATTAATGCAAAGCTAACCTACATGCATGCACGTTACCTCACCCAAGAAATATGACATTTAAAAACATAATCAGAAGCACAGAGGTTGACCGATGCAGACAAGCAGCCGCTTTTATACCAGAAAACACACTTAGAGAAGAGAAGAAGCTCATGTAGAACATCCCATCTTCTTTTTAAGTGCAAAGTACTGTACCGCAGCTCGTACTATGGACTATGAACCGTCCAGGCTAATCACCATCAAAGTCACATCGGAGAGGATGGGTCTGTTAAATTTAAGAACCAAATGAAAATTTTCTGTTGTCTTTCAAAATATACAAAAATCTTGCTGCTTTTTGATTTTTAGCTTTATTGGAGTAAAAAGAGTCCATATACATGTGACAAAACAGGCCCCACTTTAACCTGATGACATGTAATTGTAAGAAAATGTTGAAGAAGTCATCTTTATTTGCCAGGATTAGTGCTACAAAACGCCTTACCTAATACACTATGGAAAGTCAGATGTTCAATAAATTCACAAGAATGAAATCTTAAAGGATCTCATCAAAAGAATATGTAATAATAATTAGGTTTTCCCACATTTGTAAAGCGGATTTACAGCAGAGTTTCCCTTTTTGAATAAATAAAGCACTTTATAGGCTGTTTCCCTGATTACACTGCAATAAACAAGACATGTATGGAGGCATCCTCCTCTTTACAGCTGACCTATAAACGTCCATCTGGAATGATTTCACAGTTTAAAGCAGTACTTGAAGAAAACACGTATATTTGCCTGAATGCATGTTTTTTTTCGTGGCCTTTACTGTCTGCTAAGCAACATAATCTCAAACACCTTGAGGGGAAACACTATGAACTTCACTAATCCTACTATCTACAAATGGAATTCCTTGAAAACCTTATAAAACTTGCACTTTGTGGGTGTTAAATACATATTTGCTTTAAGACAGTTTGAAGTCTCTATTTGATGGTTGTAACACAAAACGTTCTTTCTGTCAAAAAGTGACTCTTAAAAGAAGGTGAGGTTTCTGAGTGTGTTTAAACGAAGCTGATTTAGAACATTTAATCCAATACGTTGTTGTTGTAATAACGGTTGTGTGTAAATCCTCGTGAACGCAGAGCTAAAAAGAACATAAATGGTGCAAAATATATATTATTGCTTCACAAATAATGTGCGGCTCAGATGGTGTGAAATCCTTTGCATGAAGATGTCAGGTTCCAGACTGGTTCCTTTTGGAGTTGGCTTTATATCTCAGCACTTAAACCCTCTGAAAGCCCTCAAGAATTATTTCAGTCTTACAAAATTTTACACGCTTTCATTTTCACGGCCATAAAATGCAATTTGAACACATGAATGGAGCCACGCTAGTTTTTTAGGCCTTGGAGGGGAAACGTGTACATCCTAAAATAGCTACTTTATCACTGAAAATCAGCTTCTCTTCTGCTCTCAGGCCGTCAGTTTCACTTCACATATCAGGTTTATATCATTTTAACGGTCGATACAAAGAAGTTAATCTGTAGTTTTACCTCGTGTGAGACCAATAGAATCAGGGATGCGACCCTCTTTAATACTGCCTTGGGTTAGTTGGGGGGGCAAAGGCCAGATATGAAACTGGATTCCCAACACAGATATCATTGGAGACTGAATGTTTCTGACCTCTTCTGGTGGAGGATTACACCTGATTTCTTTACCAGAACAAAAAACTCCTGATTCATCTTCACTCTCCTGCTCACAGTCTCTCCCCCTCTCTCTCCATTTCTTAGTGTGAACGACTGCATCCTATTTGTGAATGATGTGGATGTAAGGGAGGTGACACACAGCCAAGCTGTAGAGGCTCTTAAGGAGGCAGGTGCTATCGTCCGCCTCTACGTTCTCCGCAGAAAACCAGCAGCAGAAAAAGTCACTGAAATCAAACTAATCAAAGGGCCGAAAGGTATGTGGAAGTGTGTGCTGGTGTACAGCATCGACGCTTTTGTGTGGGCTTACGGATGCTTTATACCCGGCTAAGCTGTGCCCTCTGGATTTAGCAAATCTGCTCTGTGTTAACCCGTACCTCCTTTGCTCACTCGCTGCTTCTCTTCCTTTTCTCAGGATTAGGCTTCAGCATTGCTGGAGGGGTGGGAAACCAGCACATACCAGGAGATAACAGTATCTATGTCACCAAGATCATCGAAGGCGGGGCGGCTCATAAAGATGGGCGTCTGCAGATCGGGGACAAGATCCTAGCGGTCGGTCAAACACAACAGCATGCAGAGATAAATGCGCCCACACACATTTGTGCCACTTTCACCTTCACAGCACATGGACACGTATACACACACACACTCACATGTTGTTTACATAAGCAGCGCTGCTGTATTAAGTGCCAAGATAAATTACAGCTGTAATTTCCATGGCCTGACCTTACATTAGTACGTTAACACATGTGTAGGATGGGATCAATGTTTCACTGTAGTTTGGCACAATAATTCCCAAGTAGCTTTACTGCCATCTGCTGGGCGACACGGAGCTCGACAGCAGCAGCTTCAAAATGGAGCTTGCTCTCCACTAAATGGTGTCTGAGCCAAGGCTTTACCTCTAAATGGCATGTAGACGCTGGCTTTTGTTCACAAATACATGAACAGTGGTGCTTTGGTGATGGTTAAGGTGCACACCACTGATCCACAGTGTCCGCTATCACCTCTTCCTGCCTGCATTTGTAACCTTAACACACAGCTCTAGTTAAGGTGGACATTTGCATATTAGCTTTAGGGCACCTAATCCAGAGGGAAGCTTTAGTTTAACTCATTTTTACTGGAAAACCTTCAGTTCCATATTTAGTTTTGCCTGAAGGTAATAAATAGTGATGAATGGTGATTTAAACTAATTCATCAATTTATCATCTAGTTTCTAGATAAAGAGAGCATTTTCAACATTTGTGTATGATTTAAACCTGTGTTCTAACAAAATTCCAGGTTTCATTATTGTCCCTCCTTCAGAGTCATTCATTATTTACAGACTAACATTTTGAGCGCCGCTGTAAGGTCCGTCCACTTTGTGACCCCGCTTGTGTTTCTCCGCTTGTCACGAACGATCAGGTGAACAACGTGGGTCTGGAGGACGTGATGCACGAGGATGCGGTGGGGGCTCTGAAGAACACAGCCGAGGTGGTGTACCTCAGGGTGGCCAAGCCCAACAACCTGTTCCTGACCAACTCCTACAACCCTCCAGACCTCACCAGCAGTAAGAGCCTCTCTGTTTGTGGAAATGTATCCGCTGTGTGTGTGTCGACCTGAACGCTGGGTTTCTTTAGTATGGCCGGCAATAATGACCAGAAAACCAAATGCCCTGCCCTTTAATAAAAAATGTGCCACCTATTTTTCTTTTTAAAAAGAGAAATTTTCTTTAGTTTTGGAACAGTAGTTGAAAATAGAGAAGAGGAAATGTTCTTTCTAAACCACGAGAGATGATAGTGGGAGTTCTGTGAAAAAACTAACATGTACAGGTTGAAGTTTTTTTTTTTTTTTCCCCCCTCGTTTCTTCACAAAAGCAGAACATTTCCTTTGACCTGAATCCGCCTCTTGATGAATGTCTGCCCTTGTAGCAAAAAAAAGCCTGAGCAGGTTGTGTTTTTCAGTCGGCTTTCATAAGATCACTACAGAGGATTTTTCATACCACACGGCACAATGCAGTTAGTCAGAGGAAAAAAGCTAAAGGGGTTGAAATTGGAGCTACATTAAGATATTACATTTCTGTGTACAATACCCCCTCTGGTATGTTATACCTCTTTTGGTTTCATGTGTATTTTTTCCAGCATATTCCCACATGGATACTGAACTCAGCCACCCCAACTATCTTGGCTCAGATTACCCACAAGCCCTCACTCCCACCTCGCCGAGTCGGTTTTCTCCTGTACTGCACGGTATTATGGGAGATGATGACATCCCCAGGTGAGCAATGATCCTTGAACTATACATTTCTCATGTGCATTGATTTATTTTGAGCATTAGCAGTTACAGCAGTAGAACGAGGAGGTTTGGATGACAATACTATTTGAGTTTGTGCTGATGATTAAATGGATGTCAGCTCTTCTCTTCCGTCCTTTCTCAGGGAGCCTCGTCGGGTGTTGATCCACCGAGGCTCCACGGGTCTGGGATTCAACATCGTCGGAGGGGAGGACGGAGAAGGAATCTTTATCTCCTTCATCCTGGCAGGAGGGCCGGCCGACCTGAGCGGAGAGCTGCACAAGGGCGATCAGATCCTCAGCGTAATGACACTTTTATCTATATAAAGTTGTCGCACTCGTGCACTTTACTGTATCGCTAAGTCACGCTGTGTGTGTTTTTCAGGTAAATGGCGTGGACCTGCGTATGGCCACACATGAACAGGCAGCTGCGGCACTGAAGAACGCTGGCCAGACAGTAACCATCATCGCTCAGTACAGACCCGACGGTAAAGACAAAGCCATCGCGCATTAGACACCTTCTCACAAAGAGCAAAAGGATCCGAAGAGTTATGCAGATTTTCACGACAATTATTCAATATTTCTATCAACAAGACTTACAATTTTCGCTTGAAATTAGCTCCAGGAGGTATCTGTTCCAAGATAATTTTTCATGAGGTTTCATTTGAGGACTGTCATCCAGCGGAGAGATGTTCCTGATTTGGCTTTGTTACCTCTGGCAAAGGATGTTTGTGTATTTGTTGTAGTTAGCAGAATATCTCCCAAACAGATTACAGTAAAAAAAATAAGCTGGGAATGTAGGCCATGGGCAAAGAACCAAGCAATTAGTTTGTAATTTGCCATTTAAATTCTATTGGAAACAAACCTTCAGATACATTCATTTAGTCATGCGGTTCAGCCACTGACTCACATTTTAGTTATTCAGTTTGTAGATCAGTGCAGTGAATTTTTCAATTAAGGTGAAAGAGCACTGAATTGGTGCAGGGAGAGAAAATCGTCGTTGCCATCTTTACCACTTGTGAGGCAAATGTTTTATGTGCAAATGCATAATGGCTGGTCTTCATGTGCATGCGTTTCTCTGTTTCAGAGTACAGCCGCTTTGAGGCCAAGATCCATGACTTGAGGGAGCAGCTGATGAACAGCAGCATGGGCTCTGGGACAACAACACTAAGGAGTAACCCAAAGAGAGGCTTCTACATCAGGTCTCACAATTAGAACTGAAGCAGCAGCTTTGATAATATGTGGTGACAGTGATGATACAGAAAGTTGCTCCAAGAAACTGGATTGATGCATCCATTGACAGCTGTTGGGCAAAACAATTGTGATTCCCTCGTGTACAGTAGAAATATTTAAGATCTAAAATATGTAGACTTAGTTAAATTTTATGTGATTTTTGATGAGGAAATTAGATTTTAATTCATTTGGAGCAGCTTCTTGATCATCTCATTACAAACGCATCCATCTGCATATAAGCAAACATTATGCTAAACATATTTAACCAAAACAAATGTAATCATTATTCAGTGTAAAATGGGTTAGAGCCAGCCATCCACTAGAGCACCACTATGGGGGTTGTTACATTTACAAAGTAAGTGCAAAGCCTTTTTTTTAGAGATGAAATGTTGAGTTTAAAAGTGACAAGACGATTCACAGTCATCGGGGCATAGCCTGATTATGAAGAGAACTGCATTCCCTGCCCTAAGACAGTGCTAACGCCAGAGTTTGGAAGCCAGAATAGAAAGATAAAATGACAAGATGAGACAAAAAATGAATTAAATCACACCACAAACAAGATATACAAGAAAGATGTCATGAGTCTGTAGTAGTAAAGTATGTGTGGGTAGATGTATTCAACAAATGTGCATATAAAAGGTACAAATGGAATACTACCATTCAGTTCAATCAAATATGAGACACAGAAATACTGTCAATAATAAGCTACCACTGCATTACTGTGCTTGTTGGTGTTTACACATTTCAAGGTTTACTGTACATGTTGGTTCATCTGCAAAACCAAGGTTACTGAATGAAAAAGAAGAAACCAGTGTGGTCATTCCATGCACATCCAACTTGTCCCTTCAGCACCCTGACCTGCATCACGTCTCTCATCACATCTACTGTCAAAGAGTTATACCAACCAACCTGCCACCGAACGCAACTTGATAAAATTAACTGAAGTCAGTTTGAGAAATAAAAAAAAGAAGGTCATCGAGGGATTACTGCACAGTGGAAATTATGTTCATAATAAGCATCGCAATCTGCATATTCAAATCAAATGCCTCAGTGAGCAAAGATCCAATCACCACACCGCATTACACTGCACAGAGCAAAAGAGACACCAGCTCTACCTTCAAAGGAACTTCTTGATTGATTTCATGTGGTCTTGTTTGGTGTTGTCTTTGTTGATGACAGTGCCAGTTGTTTGCTGTTGCATTAATATGCTGTATCACAGACTGTATATAAAAGATATATGTAGCTTCTACGTCTGAAAAGTGAAGCCAACACAGATAGTGCTTTGAATCTGCCAGCAGGGGGAACTCATCTATTTGCAAAAAGAAGTCAGATTGAATAGAAGTCAATTAGAAAATGACCCTACTTCTAACTTGATTAAATACCACAGTAAACATTTTCCTAATAAGCTCATGATCTCGATCACTAGTTTCAGATATTTTTTAATACAGCATGATGTTTATTTTGTAAATTGTGATCCCATTTAGAGAAAAATAGCCGATAAAGCAGGAGATTTTTACTTTGTGATTGATCATAGCGTCCTCAAGTTCTCTCTAAGATCCACTTCTCACCCCTTATGTATGGTTTCAAATAAGCCAGACAGCAAAGACAAGATTCAAAACTTGAGGTTTCAAAATGCTGCAGCGGTCAAATCACAGTGTACATCCATCTTTTATATACAGTAGATGATCTGCTCCAGCTGTCCTCACTTGTGATGACAGTGAAGCTAGCTAGCTTAAACACCGCTGAGCTAACCCGTTAGCTGCTAACGCTCAAGGTCCAGAGTCTGTTCATGCTTCAGTGTTTTAATGGACAAAGTAGGCTGGTGGCTGGACACAATATTGCAAAGGATGAAGATCTTTGGTTGAAGTTCAGGATCAGGACCACACCTCAATGACTACCCTTCCTGTCCTACGTCTATACACCATACTGCCCTTCACACTTGGAGCAACACATCGCTTAGCCACGTTGCTAGTCAGAAGGCTGACTTACCACGAACCGCTCATCTATCAGCCCTCCGATGAAGGGACGTTCAACCCGGATCTCCTCCACGCCGATCAGCCTAAGCCACAACGATTGCCGAAGAGAAGATCGGCATCGCTCCAGAAACTCCAGAAACGCGCGTCGCTCGTCCAGAAGAGACGCCTCCAATCAGGACTCCTCTCCGTCCTCCATCCGACACCCCTCATCGGATCGCTCGTCCTCACCGAGCAGCTACAACTAGAGAGGCTCCACTCTGAGAAGACCAAACGTAATGTATTCCTCCTCAACTTCCACTCGCTCCAGCGTGGATGTCTGCAGCAGGTGAACCTCCAGAGAAGTCGACTCGCTCTCTGGAAACGATCGTCGCGCTCCTAGACTTCTGACAGATCTCCTGGCGTTTCCCTCCACACGAAACTTAGGGGGACCTTCGTGGGCCTTCAGAAAGTTCTAAGAGAAAGATTTTACATGCTACATTGACATCAAAGTGAAACTAATCACACTGCGGACAATTTCCCGGAGCTTAGATCACGTGATGAAACACAACAATTCTCCATCCAGCAGACTGTTCGCCCGAACGTGATGTCGCCGCGCTACCTGTCGCCCCTCCCACTTCGATTTTTAGAAAAGTACTGCTTTGATAACTGAGAAGCTGAATTACTTCTCTTGAGGTTTACACCCAGAAACACTGTGATATCCGTCCACACCACATTTCCAGTCAGATCACTGCTGGTCTTCAGAGAGCTTTAGGAGAAAGTCTTCACCTGCCACCTCACTGACAACAAAGTCAAACTTTTTCAACTTCTGATAAACTTCCACGGGTTGCCAGATGTGATTCATCCTATCCACCATTCCCTACAGCAGCCTGTTCCCAGTACCACCACTGTAGCCATTTCAGGCGATTGGACAACAACTCCCTTTCCTCTCTTGAACCTTCCCAACAACATTTCCTTATCTGGCTGTGAGCTCCTCCTAACCTGGTGCATCAACATGTTCCAACGTCCAATGTTCCAACCTCTAGCCTGCACGTGAGAGTCCATGTTTCTGTTGGCCGTCCATGGTTCCTGTGATGCACAGTGTTCGTTACAGCATCAACCATCAAGTTTGAGCCACACCACCATCCTACCGTACTCCTACCGTATCAGGTCTCCCACCTTCCTCCAACCCGAAGACTGCCAGATCTATTCATTCAAATGACACAAACCCAGTCAAGTGGGTAATCCAGTGTCCAACATGCACTTCAAACTAGATTTATACCTAAGCCCTTGTGAATCTCTAGTACGCTATGTACAAACCAGAAAATCTCAGAATGCTTCACTTTCTGACCCTCTGTTCATTAACAGAGACTGCTCAAGTCGCAACCTTATCCTCATTCTTCTTCCAATTCGAGCAGGTCCTGATGGTATCTGCCTGTTCTCTGACCATTCCTTCCATACTACCAGAGCTTCCAGCCAAAGGGTTCAGCACCACCAACTCAAAGCCATGGGTCTTGAGTGTATCAGCTTTTCATTGGCCTGAACCTTCAGGACCTACCTGAGCCCACTCTTTGTTTCATTCCTATGGGAGGCTTTTTGGGGGGTCCGCCGACCTGGGAGCCGCAGCTGATCTAAGCCTTTCCCCACAATGCAACAGCTCAACTCAGTCATCACCAAGAGAGCACTCGTTTGCGTCCAACAAACAATCAAGCTTCAAATTGATGGTGTGGTCGTAGCTTGTAAATGTAGTGTACCTCTTTATGTTGTTCTTATATTTATCATAAATATGAAAGAAACCTCTCATAGTTTCTTTCATCTTTATGTACAACTTAAAAATGTGTTCCTAGGACTCTGCATTTTGTCAGTCTACTTGTTCTTGACACTAAAAGCTGGACATGCCACATTTTTCACTCAGTCACAATATAATGCTTTAAACGATATGTTTACTTCGAATTATGAGTCTACTTAAAACAAAATGAAAGAGGAATTTCTTGGAATATTGGCTGCCAAGCTGAAATGTTTTTTTTAATGATTTGCCTGAATGCTTTCATCTTTCAGGGCTCTGTTTGACTATGATAAGACTGCGGACTGTGGCTTCCTCAGTCAAGCACTGGGCTTCAAATTTGGGGATGTGCTGCATGTGCTGGACTGCGGAGACGAGGAGTGGTGGCAGGCTCGAAAGGTCAGCCCGCAGAATGAGGCTGAAGAGGTTGGCTTCATCCCCAGCAAGCACAGGTCAGACATAGTTTTCAGTGTGGATGAGTGTGGGAGGGATTGATCTTTTATTGGGTTTCAGCACTTATTACACTCCTTGTTCAAACATTACTACACTGTGTGGGACTAAACCTAGTTAGCAAACCAAATGTCAGTTATAGAAAAGCTTAGTGGGAGGTTACCCATGTGAGCTGGTCTGTTCTGCCTCAAAAATTGATTATTTTTTTTTTTTTCCTTTCTTCTCGTCTCAACAGGGTGGAAAGAAAAGAGTGGTCTCGTGTTAACACCAAAGAGAGGGTATGTTCATTCACAAGAGCTGTTTGAATGAGGCTGGTTCTTTTAAAGTGTCTCCCAGAGTGTTAATCTCTGCTCTCGTCTCTGTTACAGGACCATGGTCGAGACACCTTGGGCACTCAAGGTAATTGGAATGAAACAGAAATGCATATTGACACGACAAGCCACTATATATCCATATTACTGACTTGTTCTGGTTACAGTTAATGCTATAATAATGAGGAAAAAGCAGCAACAAAGGGACATAATTTACACACACATGCGTAAATACTATCAGACAGCTATTTGCATACATTAACTGCATGTGTTTATATGTGAACAAGCCACCAGACACACTCTGGAGGGCACTGCTTCATATCTAAGGAGATTTCAATACTTACATTAAGGGTGCAGGAGGTTAATTGCTAACACTTAAAGACTCAGAGCAGTCTTTTCTTTACCTTTGACCAGCTATCTCATATCGCTGTCATCTTCAAATGCCTCTTGAGCACAAGCAGTCTTCTGTGATATTTTCATCCAGATTGCCATCCAAAGCACACTTCACCACAGTCACATCTTTACTGATTTTATCGACAATGACATCTAATCACGATTCAGTACATACGAATACAGACACACCACATGCACTCACAAACCTGAATGTCATTTTCAAATAGCAAAAAAAAAAAAAGAACTTTGGCTGAATGCTTCTATGTTCTGCCACCAGGGAGAGATAAAACCTCGCACAGTTATGAGACAGTTACTCAAGTGGAAGGTAAGGTCATAAAAAAAAGAATGTGTGAAATCCACTATATAAAGCCTTTATATGAAATTTTCCTCTTTGTTTTGATTCCTCCATTGTGAATGATCCTGCTCTCTTTCTCCTGTCTTTCTCTTCACGATAAGTACATTATGCGAGGCCCATCATCATTCTGGGTCCCGTGAAGGACAGGATAAATGATGACCTGTTGTCTGAGTTCCCTGATAAGTTTGGATCTTGTGTCCCACGTGAGTAATTACGCTGCCAGTCACAGAGACTGATCTGTTCTCTAGTTATTATTTGATGTCACTGCTGCCACCTGCAGCAATTTTAGGCTGACATCTGCATAGCACATCCAGTCTCAGAGAAGTTTAACTTTGATTTAAATATTTAAAGAGTGTTTGCACTGTTTTTTTTACTGCTTTTGTTCTTTGTTTCGCAGACACCACGCGGCCCAAGAGGGAGTACGAGGTAGACGGGCGGGACTATCACTTTGTGTCGTCAAGGGAACAGATGGAGAAGGACATCCAGAGCCATCGGTTCATCGAGGCCGGACAGTACAACAGTCACCTGTACGGCACCAGTGTCCAGAGTGTCCGCGAGGTGGCTGAACAGGTTGGCAATGATAAAATTTTATAAAATGCGATCAGTACTTTCACAGCCAAAAATTAAAACTATGTTTATTGATAGTAACACAATAGCATCAGACACAAGGATTATTATTTATGTATAAGGAATTTATCAGTGATCAAAACTCACTTATGATTGTTAACAAGGTTTTACGAAAGCAATGCTTGTCGAGTTAACTGGCACTGCTATTTATCACCAAGACAACAGTTTGTATTTATTACTCACTATTTCTTTGCATGTGTGTTGGAGCAGCAGGGGAAACACTGCATCCTGGATGTCTCTGCCAATGCTGTACGTCGACTACAAGCAGCTCAGCTTCATCCTATCGCCATCTTTGTCCGACCCAAGTCACTGGAGAATGTCCTGTATGTACTGAAAACCTATTTTCTTAATGCTTGGCTATCAGACAATGAATAGGCTGTACATCATCAAAACAAGCGTCACAATGAAGATGTTGTGTGTGTGATGTTAACAGAGAAATCAACACTCGCCTGACAGAAGAACAGGCCAGGAAAGGAATGGACCGAGCCCTCAAACTAGAACAAGACTTCCTAGAGTGTTTCTCCGGTAAGAGCGCACAGAAATTATGTGTAGATGTGGTAACGCATAGAGCCTGGGATGTCTAAATACCAAACTTGCATAATTTCTACACACTGTATGTTCACTAGTGGGATTTGGGTTTAGCTTATGGAAGCATCATGTGAGCTTAAGCATCTGTGTTTGCACTCCACTTTAGGATTACTCTTAATCTGTTTGATAAGGACTGGCAATCCTAAAAATCTTCCGTTTTATCATTAGAAACAACAGCTTGTACATATTTTCGGTTCATCACTGGTGCACACACTCAGAGGTGATAACATATCATACTTTACCACTTTTTTACTGTCTAATGCCAACAAATGCAAATAGCTAAACACGGCTCCTCCACCATGATGAGCTTCACATTTCCATTTTTTCCCGGCATAACTGAATAAGTTAAATGAGAAAAAGAATGCCTTTGTGTGAAGACTCTGTGCATTTTAACATTTAAGAGATGCATTTAGGTCAAATCTCAGCAGTCGACAGAATATAAATGTTAAATCTGGTGCTGTCTACAATTTCTAACAAATCACGAACAGCGCTCGTGTGACATTTTATCAATCACTGAAAGAATGTGTGACACTGAATAAATATACGGGAGACCATGTCGAAATACTTACATAAAGGAAGTGTGCCTGCACTTTGATGTTGCACAGAGATTGTAGAATTACATTCATAATTGATTATTCCTTGCATTGTCTTGAAAATGCAGCTGATAAACATCTATCATTTCCTCTGTCTCTCTTCATCCCTCCCCCCTTCCATTTTTTTCCCTACTCTCCCTCCTCTCTCTTTATTCGCCACTGTCTGTGCCATTTTCTTCCCTCTTTTCCCTGTTGTTTCCTTCTCTCCGCTCACACACGCTGCGTCGTGCTGCAGCTGTCGTCGAAGGGGACAGCTTTGAAGAGGTCTATCACAAAGTAAAGACAGTGATCGAGGAGCAATCAGGGCCTTACATCTGGATTCCCACCCGGGAGAGGCTGTGATGCTGCACCCGCTCAACCACCCCTTCCCTCACAACCACCAACCAACACCGCCCTTCACCCTCACAGCCAAGCCAGCCTCGCCTGCCTGTCTGTCCTCCAGCAAAGTCAGTGCTTAGGCAATCACTGAGAATGACACAGAGAGACAAATGCATACTAAGACAAACACAGAGACAGAGACAAACACAGGAAGTGACACAGCGAGGCAAAGAACGATACCAAAAAAGAGACTCTGAGACAGATGTGAACACAGCGATGTGTAACTAAACTGAAAGAGACGGAGAGAAAAAGACTTAATCAGTATTCCACTTTAATGAAGCAGGACTGAACATTGAGGCCCTGTTCACACTTTGCATTAAAATGCATCTTGGATACAAGTGGACAGCTCTATACACAGCTGTGACTGCACCCGAAACTGGAGAAGCAGCTTTCCTAACCGCTGTTTAGTGATGTTAAATAACTTGTGTGTATGCACACGTGTTTCCTCTGTTTAGATGCAGTTGCAGTTTCCCGATCGCAAGTGAAATCCAATCACAAGTGATTGCTTGCGACAGATTTCGGATGCATTTTGGTGCCAGGTGTGAACTGCAGTCCACACCATCTGGATGTTAACACAGTCTAGATATATCTGGACGTAAGACATTAGGTGTGAGCAGGGCTTGAAAGAGAGTAGAGGGTGACCCCGCAGGGATGGACCACGAGGTAGTAAAATCGCCTCACCCTCCCCATCCATCTCAAGTCTCATGCCCCCACTGAACACCTCCACGCACCAATGTCTGAGATGGAGGTGCCCAAAAAGACACTGGCCCCTCTTTTTATATCACCCTCCTGGCTTTCTGTCCTCCTCCTCCTGTCAGCTCTGCTTTGTTTCAGGACAGGAATGGGGGAAGACTGAGAACAGGGGGCCAAATCCTGCTGAGTCCGTCTTGACCAGGAGTCTTTACTCAGCAAACAACACCCCCGCCCCCCCCTCCCTTTTTTTGTGAATCTCTTCTTGGTTCTGGGTGTGAACTCAGAATAACACCTCAGTGACCAAGACTGGCATTTGTTCAATCACCTATGTTGAATATTGCGAGGCATTAGTTCAAATAATTATAATGATAAAAACTCATATGCTGAATTTGTGCATGCATCCTCAATGACAATGGAGACAGGAGATGAAAACAATGGAAAAATCTGACAAAAAAAAAAAAGAAAAAAATATTCAAAAGAACGGCGAGTAAGTAAGGTGTGTTCTCCTTCTCCACCTCCGTATTGTGGAGGAGTTTTTTAGCATGTCTCATGAAGGAAGAAGAGAGACATGGTCATGCGATATGGTCATGAGAGGCCGGTCCTGAGCGCACTAGATGCTCTGACATACAGTTTAGCCTCTACTCTCTTATGCACACACACTCACGCACCCACACACAAACACACATACACTCTCACACCCATCCAGCGACACACACATGTAGAGTCGTAACCTCAGCTGTAACCTAGCACACTCCTCCATGGTGTAGAGGGGGGGGACTGGCTGTTCTGACCTGCTAGTCAGAATCCAGGATGAATGTTATCTCTCTAGGCACAAACAGCAGAGCTCTTATAGCTTCATCGCACCACAAGCTACTCACCGGTCACTCTTCCAAAAGATCCCCTCAGCCGCAGACGTACACACTGTTTCCAGTGCCCGCAGTAAAAGCCATGGCGTGTGCGTATGTGTCTGTGTGTGTGCGTGTGTGTGCGTGTGTGTGTAAGTGCGTACGTGTCCCTGATCGTGCACAGTCGTGCACATTCATGTGTGGAAACTCCTCTGTGTGGGAGGAACAGGTCTTCTTTTATTCTCTCTCTTCCACTTTTCTCTGCTTCTTTCTCCCTCTTGTGTCCACACAAATTAAAGCTAAGTCATGTTTAACAAATAAATGGCCTATATATATAAATATATATAAATATATATATATATCTTTTTTATGACAATTTCTAACGGGACTAAGTCTGTAAAAATCAACATTTCCAAACAATATTCCATTGATTTCTTTGGGTAATATTGCCGTTTGGTTGTTGAATTTACTCACATTCCCATTTTATTGTTGTAAAACGCAGCGAAAAGCTACACAGAAATAACGGAACCATTCAAGTCGATGTAACGCAGACCTCACACTAGAGCTTTGAACTGGCATATTTGACATGTTGTTGTATACGTTGAAAACAAACAGAAACACATGTACAATGCAGCTGTGTGTGTCTGCGTGACTGTGTGCGTGCGCATACGTGTGTTTGCTGCTTGTGTGTGCGAGTGGCCAGAAAGTGTGTGTTATGTATAGAATATAAATGATACTATATGAGAATATCTATCCTTTATAACATCTACTGGTGGTTATAATGTGTAATACATATATGGGTGGCGCGCGTATGTGTGTGTGTGCCAGAGTGAGAGAGTGAGACACACACATGAAGATGTAGTGCAATACTGCTATGATGTTATGCAATGAAGATGGTTTTATGTGTCTAAGATTAAAAAAAAAAACAATATTTATAAAGTTTGCACTGACAGCATTATATGCTACAGGTATCAGGAGGACAAAGATGGTGAGTGAAAGCAGTAGGACTCAAGGTCAGCGTTTTAAAAGCATGTGTTTGTATTTACTTATGATTTGTTCTGAATTACAAGAGTGAAGGTGGAAATATTGATGGAAGTGATCATTCATATTTATCGTTTGTTTATTTTTGCTCACTTGCTTCTCTCAGCTCAAGGTGGAACGGCTGAGGCTCGTGAATGACGAAGTATCAGTTTCAGATTTTTGTTCACGACTTATTATTTATTTAGAGCTGTCACTAGTTCCATCTCAAGTCTGTATATTTTTGTAATTTTTCTTTTTTTTTTCTTTTTTTTTTTCCACATTGAGAGAGCTCTTGGGTACTCGGCCAGAAGTGCTGTAAATATAATTGAGATGTTGGAGTGCCGTGTGGCTTTAGATTTAGCCGTTCACACTGCTGAATTGATGCAAGTAAAGAATCCATCAGAGCCACAGCCCAGTTTAACTGCTCAAACACATGAAACAACATCTGCACACTCCGGGTGGGCAACACACACATACACACACACACACACTCGCTCAAAGATATCAGCACGTCCACACACACACATGCATTTACATTTACACATGGAGAGAATCACAGAAATAACAACACATCCATGAATTGAATATTATGTTTTCAATTTCTTTATTTGAGAGTTCAATGTATTTCTTAATATCTCTCTCAGCCATCCGTATCATAGTGTGATATTCCTTATAAAGTATATGAATTTTTACAGAAAAGACTGATTACAAAGTTACAACAAAGTCAACTGATGCAGAAAAATATATTTAACAATGACAATATCAAGCAAAATAAAATGTTCCAGTTCAGTGAAGCGCTTGTTGTAAATTAGCTATAAAATAATAAAATTAATTTAAAAATGCTTTCTGAAAAATGGACTCAGCGGCCTCCTTTTTTTTTTTTTTGGTTTATTGTGTCTTGCTGGTTTAATCCTCCACAGTTCCACAGGTGAACACAGCAAGAAAGACAGCGGTACGACCAGAGGAGGGCACTCATTCTCCATTTTAAGCTGCTTATACAAGCTCCTCTCAGCTGCATTTGCACAGACTTGCTCCTATTTTCTGGTCGCCTCCCCCCCTCTCCTCTCTCTCTCTCTCTCTCTCTCTCATCAGGGGAACCATTTTCTCTTTAGAAAAGCACACAATCATGAGGATCCTTTTCGTCTGATCGCATGCTATGCTATAGTGTGTGGGTGAGTGTGAATGGGCACACATTCATCCTATATCCCTGTAATCGCTTATGGCTTGTTGCATATTTGTATCATCTATACAATTTTCTTTTTTCTTTAGAAGCACAATCTGTCACACAAATGCAAACAAACGGTTAATCCATCCGCCAAAAACATACGCTTGGAATGTTTTGTTTAATGCTCAGACACCCACATGTATTTTGTTGTCGGATGCTGCTCCATTATGGTTTCCTCATGTCCGTATTATATGTATAAAGAAAGCAGCATGTCTGCTTGGTTAGCAAACACAGACCGCCACGTTTATCTTCTAACCCGCCGTCTTCCTATTTCTGAATTTATTTCTTATTTATGCAGACATAAATGACACATTGATCCGTGAAATTTGTATATTTACACTCAAAAGGCCACTACCAAAAAAACCCAACAAGCTGTTAACTCATTAAACCTCGCTGACCTACCAGTGGGACATTCATTACAAACCTACGCTTCGCAGCCAAGCAACCCACTGATTTTGTGTTTGTTTGCGCTTGTGTAAATACCAGTTTTCCTTACGATATCAAATATGTCAGCTGGATTTGAAGGGAATGTATAAAAAGCGTCGAGTCTGTGGTTTGAAATGTCACCCTGTAGACATGAAACAGCTTATTCTGCCACCCTTAAAGGAGGAAAAGATGTTCGTTAAGGGGTTTGAATGACTTTTCACTCCTAAAATTCCCAGCATCATCCATCTATTCGACCACAATCTGATCCCTGCTGTATTAAATCAACTGAAAGTGACACAGAGAGTCGGACAGAGCGAGCAGAGACCATCCGTCAAAGGATCTTAACCTGCAAACTGTTAAGGCCTTATAGCCACGAGGTTCCTCCCATCCACGTGATTCTGTTATCCTCCTGTCAGCCATTATGTCTTCTCCATGTACCATGTGAACCAATGCAACTACGCACAAGCTGGTGCAAGAATCCACAGTTGGACTCTAGAGGAAGACAGATGCATGACAAATGGATTACTGAAAAATTTGCCAAAAGTAATATGGTTACTTCACAATTAGATGCTTCCTCCTAATTAGGAAACTGACTCGCTGAATCAACTCTCTCTTTAATCAGTGAAGTGATTCATGTTTTGAAAAACCCTGTATTTCACAGATGTACAAATACTCCACTGCACGCATCCCGTCCCACTGCCAAGGAGGACAGTCATTTTAAAGTAAGGGGGGGAATTAAAAATGAATGCTTCCAA